GTTTTGCATCCGCCTTAGATGACACCCGCTGCTTGATCGCAGAAGACACTAATGTACGTGCCCGAAAAGCTGTCTACGTGTTCACACGTCCTTCTTCGCGCAGACGGTGTTCGACAGCCTCTTCAATCGCCGTACCTAGGACCTTTCAAGGTGCTACAATCGTGCGAGTAAGGCCTACACTATTGACCGCGGTGGTCGACGCGAAGTTGTCAACATCGACCGTCTAAAACCCGCCTACTTCGTCTAGTAGTGCTTCGTGCGACGTCACAACTCACCGCACCGGCTTTCAGCATCGTAGTGCAGTTCAACCAGACGGCGATCTCGGTCTACAGGCTTCAGCCTTCCTGAAAACTCCCGAATCTAGTCCGCCGCCTCCCACGACCAATCGCCCGTTCGTTTCTCCGACTATGTACAGTGTAAATACTTTTAACTTTGTAGATATTGTATATATTTGCCTCATTTTTGGTCGATTAACGTTTTGAAAGCAAACAAAATTATCAAAAACCTCCGAAAAACCTTTTTCAAAAAATATTCAAAAACCAAAAATATTTAAACATGCAGATCATCCGCTTGTTCTTTGTGGCGTTTTCTACGCGTGTTTTTCTATTTTCTCGCCTCTACATGCCCCAACCCTCCCCTTCGATCGACTGGCCCACACGTTCAGTGAACTGACTGGGTGGTGACCGCGCGGAGCGGTGTTCACTAGAGATAAACTGGGATGTTTCGCGTTGTTTGTGAGCGTAGCTCGTGGCTCTGTGGTCCACGGTATGAAATTCCTGTGCACTATATGTGTTCGTCAAAGGTCTTGACGTGGCTGTTCAAATCCAGCGAACAGACATGAAAGTTTCGATCGGGTGGTAGCCTATGCTTGTTTGTGGTATGCGCACTCCACACTGCCATTAATCAATGTCAACGATGAACCGGCGACACCCTTCGTTCACTGATGCATTTCTAATCAATTGAAAATGGAAGCTGCAGAGGAACCACCGTTACTGTGAATGTGAAGCAGCCCGGATGAACTCGCAAATTTAACAAGAAGTGTTTTTAAAAGCGGATGTATGTTGTTTGAGCACGGTACCGGAACTCCTTGGCCCTGGATTTAGTGTTGGTTTGTTTCTGACAGATAGTGACCCGCTACGGGCTTGATCTTATCAATGAAGCACATCCTGCAAGTCAGTCCGTTGCGACCGCCGCGTTGGAAGCGGAAAATCATTATATCGCTATACATGCTAGCTGCAGGTGGAAAACACCTCCGCTACTGTGCCGCAATACATGAAGAAAAGAGGACAAAATATGCAACAGATGCATGCCAGCTGAACTACCAGTAACGGATGGGCATCGTTCTGGAGAGTTACCAGCCTGTATTGTGCTGCAAAGGGTCACAGTATGCCTATTCATTGAAATCGTGGTTGGAGGGGGAGGTTAAGCGGTAGAAGGATGGAAAAAGAACTCAAAACACAAACGCCACTGTGGTGTGCTCCTCGACATATCAACAAGTGTATCGAAGCAAAAGTGTTCAGCGTCCTTCGGTCCCCAACCAGGGAGCCGAGACCCTCCAACTGAGGCCAACTTCGAAGTAAGGGCCTTCATTCCTCTCGACCAAAACATCGCTTGACCACCCTTCCTTCCATCCGCACTCCCGGCGCTCAAACAACGCACGTCGCGGAAGTCGGTGGGCTGGCATGTGCAACACGTGGCCCAGCCATCGGAGCCTGCTGCGTGAAATAACGGTGCTGAGCGGCTCACTACCTCTTCCTGTGCCCTAAACAGGACGTCGAACACGATCATTGCTCACACGGTGTTCCCACCGGATATGAACCAAACTGCGAAGGCACCCAGTGGTCGAACGGAACTAGCCTCTTTATGTCTGCCGATGTAACGGACCAGGTTTCGCAACCGTACAGTAGGGTCGAACGTACGGCTGCATTGTAAAGTCTACCCTTCAGGATGAGAATAATGTCGCGGCGGCGCCAGAGGTGGCGAAGATTAGCAAAAGCGTCTCGTGCTTTTGCTATATGGTTTGTGACGTCGTCTACAATTCCATCGGCGCTGATACAACTACCTGGGTGGTTAAACTTTTGAACGACTTCCAGCGGATCCTCAACATAGGTCAGCGCAGGACGTGGTCCCTGCCAATCTTGAAGGAGAGCTTTGCAATCCGAAAGTGCGAAGTATAGCCTGAAACGGGTGACAGCCACACTGCTAGTCTGTCCATTGCTTCTTGGCACGTTAGTGAGCTGTCGCAGATCAGGGCA